ATCGTCTCCAAGGCCAGATAGATGGATTCACTCGGTCTGCTCTTACGCATCTGGGAGAGGGATTTGATGCAGACGACGATCCTGATGACTTGAATGTAGACATTCTGATGATCTCAACAATGACCCAGCAGATTTCACTGACACATCTGATACATGGGCAAACTCCCCCGAGCTCACTGTCATCCCATTGCTATCAAACCTTGGGGTAGATCAAAGCAGACGCTGTATGGCAGAGGATCTGATTCCACTGGAGATGTTGCTTCATGAAGGGCAGGCCAATGATGCCCTTCACAACCTCTGGATTCACTTGTGCAACAAGGCGATCCTGTTCTGAACAACGGTCAGGCAGGCCAAATTGCAAGCCCTGAAAACTTGAGCTTGGTCCCAGGTGACGTCAGTGCAGCAGGCAGTGTCCCTCCATACCAGTATATATACAAAGACCTGGAAGCAAATGATGCAACTCAAGCCAGGGCAAGACCAGCTTCAGACATACAAACCACTGCTTCGGGAGCAGCTCAAAATCAGCACTGCCATTGGCAATCCAAATGCCTGAGGTCAGCAGAACGAGTCCCTCGCTTGGTTCTGGTCCGTTGATGTGGACCTGGGGGGTCCAGATCACTTGTGGAATGAGGAATGTGAGTTTGGGCATACTTGACATATCCTGTGCTCAGCTGATGGGACCCATCTGAAGTTTACTGAGTTCATTGGCTTCAGGCAAAGGCCCTATGGGATCGATGGAAGGAAGAAATGACATTGGTCCAATTGGAGATGGATTGGACATGCAACTTTTTCTTGTGGAAAGCAACCCAATAGGGCAACAGGATGCAGGAATCATTGGTGAATCACCTTCTGGGTCATTCATGCTACTTGGGAAGGCAATCCCAAATGTATTCATTACTGGCACAGGATGCCCAGGCAGCATTTCAAGACCTGCAGAGCGAGTTCATAGACGCTTGAGATGAATGAACTTTTTTGCCAATGATTGTTATGAACTTGGATAGAGCATTGTTCCAATAAAGGAACCAAGGATCAAGGTCGATCAAGGACTTAAGCCTTATTGAGTCAATGCCTCCTGCAGGATCTAGAGTTCAAATGGGACAATGGCTAGCTTTCTTCCCAAGGAGTTAGAGTTCAAGTATGAAAGAGAACCAAGTAGATTCAAGTTAGAGAAAATACAAGCGGTAACTAGGGTTTATATACGTAAAGGAATTGTGCACAGACCAAGCTGGGCAAAGGGTATCTAGTACTAGAAATGGAAGGTTCATGGGAAAACAAGATATGAGTCAGAGACAAGAGAGACCATGAGGGAACAGCACAGTGAAAAGGAAGTGTTAGAAGTACAGCCATATAGGAGTCTGCAGTGATGATGGGAAAAAGAGTGGGGCACTGTAACAATGATATGAAACAGCTACTTCAACCCAAACATTTTAGTCTCAGGAAATGCCTGGATGAACAAACATCGGAGTTTGAAAATTTTTATCCATCAACTGGTGGCTCATATCTTCACATCCAAACCAACTGGCATTGTGATTGTGATTTCCAGCATCATACTCCTGCATTAGCCATGCCTGTATTGCAAACTCCTCCTGCATCCCCTTCTGATGCTATGGATTCTGGCAATGAATACCGACCCCTCACACTTGGTCTTGCAGATATTGCAGCCACAATGTCAATGGCTGCATCATGCATCTGAGCATCAATCTCCCAATATCAAATGGAGGCTGCCAACACTGAGGAGCCTTCCGCTGCTTGGATCATGCACTTTAAAGCTGGGCTGCAATGGGAGATCACTGTAAGAGACTGATGACTGCGGTGGTCAATGCTGAGATTTCCAACAGACTTTTGTGACACCCATCCTGCAGTACTCAGCTGCAAGGCACATCATCTTGGTCATTCCAAACCCGGTCACCCATATTCTTCAGTTGTTTCCCCAGCTCACCTGGAACACAGTTCTGGACCACATCTTTTCATCCCACTTATGTCTCTTTCATGATGTCGCAGATCCAGGAGATCCCTCCAGGATTATATCTGGCTATGATACTGCATGGTGGATCAGACACACTGCAATCCCGGACAAATTATGGCAATGGGACCAGGTAATGGGTTGCTGTGTCTTTCACTACCAGCATTGGCTAGTAAGAACTATGAACAATTTCCTTGAGTGATGATTAATCTGTTCTAGGGTGGCATTGAGGATGATGGTCTGATTCTTCCTGAGCAGGTGGATAACACCTCGGTTCCATCACTGATGGGACTGAGGTGGCTTAGAGAACGCCTCCGGACATTGGTTGAGGAGCAAGAAGAGGGCATCAGTGAAAAGATGGCAGAGATTGATGTGTACACCAGTATCCTGACCAGATTGAAGAGAGGCAGAGGAGAGTAGTGCTAGTCCTTGAGTTCAGAATGTTGATGTCCAAACTCCATGAAAATGACATACAGTCTTCCAAATATCTAACCTAACATTATGTGCCAAGTCCTGAATACTGAATATCAAGTATTGAGTACAGACAATCATATATCATGTTGTGAATGTGGACTCCTGAATATCGAGACCCGAATGGTGAATATTGAGTATTGAGTATTGAGATTCAGATATTGAGACCCGACTATCGAATATCAAGTCCCCAATACCAAGTCCCAAATATCAAGTACAGAGTTCACAATACTGAGTCCTGAACATGGACTACCAAATCTTGAGACCTGACCATCGAATATCGAGTTCCGAATATCAAGTCCCGAATACCAAATACCAAATACCAAATACCAAATACTGAATACCAAATACTGAGTCCCTAATATTGTCATATCTGCATATCCAGATCTCAGATCCAATCCACATCTTATCTCCCTCCAACATCTCGTCATCCATTCTGTCCACTTGTCCGGTCCAGTCCACAATTCATCCGAATCCACAACCAGCACTTGTCTCTTTTCGGTAATCCCCTAACTCTGGTATTTTGGTTATCTGTATATCTGTCCTGTTCCCTGATCCATTACCTATGCTTCATTTCCATTTCATTATTTGTGATCTGTTTCTACTTACCAATAGACCATCCATATGCTTCATACATGGCCTCAGACTCTGCTGGTTGATCATTCCATTAGATACCTATATTATATAACCTCCTGTAACTCTCTGTAGTACCTCAGTTTGAATATCAACTTAGTTCTGCTCATTCCCGTCCTCCGGACCTGAGTATCTCTACTCTCATCACCCTCCGAGACTTAGGATTGATTCCTATAGTCTATCTGCATCTGCCTCTGTCTACAACAGTCCATTACCATTAGTTTCTAGTCTGGACTCATCCGGATTAGCCCTACAATACCTATCCCACATCTGGAAGTCATCCAGATCCGCTACACTACTTGTCTGACCTTCCAGACACATCAGTCTTGCCCTCCTGAAATAAGGGGCAATACTTAGGTAAGGGGCACAGTGCATGAGCTGAGGCTGAAGCCCTTTGGATCCAGTTATCCCTTGAGTATGACCTTAACAAATATCGCGATAGTGGACATTTGGAACTCAATATTCAGAATTCAACATTCCATAGTCGGGTCTCAAATATCAACACCCAAATACCAAATACCAAATGCCAAGTCCCTAATATCAAATGCAGAGTCCCTAATATCAACACCTGAATACCAAATACCAAATACCAAGTTGGATTTTGATATTCAATACTTGCTAGTCGGGACTTGGTATTTGGTATTCAGTATTTGGTATTTGGTATTTGGTATTCAGGGGTCGATATGAGGGACTCACTAGTTGGGACTCGGTATTTGGTATTTGGGACTCCATATGAGGGACTCAATATTCAATATTAGGGACTTGGTATTTGGTATTTGGTATTTGGGTGTTGATATTTGAGACCCAACTATGGAATGTCAAATTCTGAATATCGAGTTCCAAATGTCCACTATCAAGTATCGAGTATTGAATATTGACCATCAAGTCTTGAGTTCTGGATATCGAGGCCCAAATATTCCAGATCCTGATATCTAATATCTGGTATTTGACAGTATGTGCTAACATGGGTAACTACACTTTCCACTTGTTTCATCTTTCACTGTTTGTAATCCACCCTAGCCCATCCACATGATGGAACCCTGGCATAAACATGAACAGAATCCCTCATATACCATGCCCAAGCAATCCAATCCCCTTCCACTGCATGAACCCCATGTCTCACAATCCTTCCAGAAAATGCAATCATGCAACCCAGATCATACCTGAACTCCAGCTGAAGGCTTGGCATGCTCATCCAAGCATTAGAATAATTCCCCACAGTAGTGAGAATGTTGAAGCATTCAGGAATAGATAAATGGTCTCGATGATTGGGGGTTTCCTGATTGGAAATGACAGACAGGCTGTTAAACATGGATGCCCAGTACTGGAGAGTCTCTGACATCTTCAGCAGTTCCTTGCTTTCTGCCTTTTCTTTGAGGCTTGAAAAGGCTCACAAACCTGCCCAGTACTACTCAGGATGCATCACCCTGAGTGCCGCTGTTGCAATGGCTGCTGGCCTTGCAATCACTTTGAGGATCTTCTTGGAGGATGCCCCCTTCAATGATGCAGATACCTCCAGATCTGACTGATTCTAGGGGATTCATGAGTTTGACTACCAAAATTGCCATCGCATCAGATCCTACCTTGTGCCCCTGTTAAAACCATGCTGGAGACAAATTGATGCATCCGGGAGTTAAGACATCATTTTCCGAGCTTGGTTTGAACCACTCTTGATTAGTTCACCAATTGCCATCAAGCTTGATGCTTTTTTCAACAATTGGAGCGAGCAAATCAGAGGCTGCCCAAATTTCCTTCTGTGGGCACCATTTGATGTTTAATATCCATTGAGTAACAATATATATTGCACACCTGGGTGGCATCAGTCAGGGCGTCTGGGACATACCATGCAATGATGGCACCGGATGCATCAAGAATTGTGGTGGGTATCTCCACCAACTTTGTGCCCTCATGGCCAGGAGGACACCTCTCAAGCAACTTCTCCTCTCTCTCTTCATTATGCCCGGTGTCCTTTGGGGAGATCACTTTGCTGTATCTTGCAACATTGATCTGCATCTGAACTGTGATGAAGCAATTTGACTGATAAAACCAAATTTTCTGAATCCGCAGGAAGACCCACTGGGATTTTTATATGCCTTTATCAGGTGATCAACCAATTGATTGCAAGCCATCACCAGATCAGTGTCTAGGTTCAGAGAAGGTATAACTGGGTCTCCTCCTGTCTTCTCTGCATTGAATTTCTGTTCAGTATATTCACATGCCTCATGAGTGACAGTCAGGGCCCAAGTGTGCCAGAGGGTTATTTCAATATCGGAAGTGGAAGAAACAGTCATGATGGAATTGATCTTGGGAAATTGGATGCCGAACCCTGCATGTCCACACTTTGGAGTTAAAGGGGGTGGAGATAGTGAGGATCAGATAAGGCAGCCTCACATGATGTTATTTTCCAAAGATGTGTTATCATCCATTGCTCAATGAAATACCAGATGATTGGAAGTGTGCTGGATATCAGATCTTTGTTTATTGAGACCCAGGCCTCAGGTCTCAGTACCCTTCACTCAATGTTTGGTAGTCAGAACTTGGCTTCTTGTAGGGCAATGCATGCCGTGTGCATTAGCTACTTGGTAGTCAGTGCTGCATGTTCACATCTCTACTGGGTGCTTGATTTTCTGGCACTTGTGACCTTCATCATTAGATGACTTTGAATTATTACCTCCTTTGATTTGGATGATATACAACTACCTACAAAACTCATACATTTTTATGACTTTTGAGTTTCAGGTTTCAATGTTCGGGGTTCGATGTGTGGGCTTCAGGACTCAGTACTTGGTGATTCAAGTTTTGAAATTTGTTTCAATGTTTGAGTTTCAAGTTTCAAGTTTCAGGTTTCGGGTGTCAGGTTTATGTTTATGTGTGATAACAACTACCTAGCCCCACCTGTCGATATAATATATACAGTGGCTCAAAAACTGTCCACATGTTTTTGCATTTTTTACTATTTACAATATTGTGTGAGAATACATAAAGACCTCAGTGACATGCTGATACCATATTGTAGTGCTGCTTCAGGGCTTTGGATTGAGCACCACATCGTGAGAATCAGAGGAAATATGGTGGAGATACAAAGCTTACAAAATCATGACTCATGCAGACAGTTTTTTGAGCACATATTAAAACTATATAAATCATCATTTATGACACCATAACAATCATGCCACCATTAAATAAATTATAAAGTGGTGTCATTATGTCATTTTAAAACCATATCTAACTATACAAACCAAAAATTTCCATATGTCATGGTTATATTCACCATGAAAGCCACCCCCCCTGCTCAAAGGGATAATATCCTCTCTCTTTTCCTATTCTGGCCTCTCTGCTTGTCAAATTTCCTCTAGAACTGGAGTATCCAAGTCCATTGTGGCCAAGTTCATCAAAGAAAGTCACACAGACAAGGAAACTTCTGTGAAGGGCATCCATCCAAGCTCGCTCTACTGATAGGAGGGCTATTATTCAACATATCACTACAGGAAAGGCTGATAATGCTGTCCAGGTCACCTATTACATCAATTCCACATCACATTCCCTGTCTCTTCACACACTGTGAGAAACATTCTCAAGACAGCTCATCTCAGGTCAGTAACAAGGAAGAAAGGCTCTCCTCTCTATCACACATAAACAGAGATGACTAACCTTTGCCTTAGCCCATCAGAATTGGATTACATGAATGGAAGCATGTTATATGATCATATAAGACCACAATAAATAGGATTGGGTCAGATGGCAAGGTATGTATGTGAAAAAAGGAAGGGTGCTAGTCATCTCTGTTTATGTGTGATAGAGAGGAGAGCCTTTTCTTCCTTGTTACTGACCTGAGATGAGCTTCTGAGAATGTTTCTCACAGTGTGTGAAGAGACAGGGAATGTGATGGTGGAATTGATTGTAATAGGTGACCTGGACAGCATTATCAGCCTTTCCTGTAGTGATAGTTGAATAATAGCCCTCTATCAGTAGAGGCGAGCTTGGTGATGCCCTTCACAGAAGTTTTCCTTGTCTGTGTGACTTTTCTTGATGAACCTTGGCCACAATGGACTTGGATACTCCAGTTCTAGAGGAAAGTTGACAAGCAGAGAGGCCAGAATAGGAAGAGAGGAGGATATTATCCCTTTGAGGACAGGGGGGGTGGCTTTCATGGTGAATATAACCATGACATATGGAAATTTTTGGTTTGTATAGTTAGATATGGTTTTAAAATGACATAATGACACCACTTTATAATTTATTTAATGGTGGCATGATTGTTATGGTGTCATAAATGATGATTTATATAGTTTTAATATGTGCTCAAAAAACTGTCTGCATGAGTCATGATTTTGTAAGCCTTGTATCTCCACCATATTCCTCTGATTCTCACGATGTGGTGCTCAATCCAAAGCCCTGAAGCAGCACTACAATATGGTATCAGCATGTCACTGAGGTCTTTATGTATTCTCACACAATATTGTAAATAGTAAAAAATGCAAAAACATGTGAACAGTTTTTTGAGCCACTGTATCACTACCTCAGCCTATATGTCCATACATCCATATAGTATACAAATACCTTGGCCCTTACATCTATGGACTGTCTTCTGAGGTATCACTGGATTCCAAGTCGACAGGGCGCTTGGCTGTACACATACCTTGGCCCTTACATCTATGGACCATCTTCTGAGGTATCGCTGGATTCCAAGTCAATGGGGCACTTGGCTGTGTTGACATTGATTGACATTGACAGGATCTGAGTCTGAATGTCATTGATGACTAGGATCAAAACTAGTGCAACAGCATTG